ACTACTACTACTACATATTATTATTATTATTATTATTATTATTATTACAATAATAATAACTTTATTTATAGCCCGCCACCAATTCCCCAAGGGGACTTGGGGCAGCTAACATGAGGCCAAGCCCAAAAATTACAATAAGACAAAATAAAATACATTAACAGATAAATAAATCAAACAAAGTGCAAACAATAACAAAATAATTCAAGATAATAAACACAAAATTTAACATGATAAAAGAATTGAACACAGTGGGCTGGGCCAAATGCAAAAATTAAAATTACAAAATCCCTGGATTAGATGGATTATGAGTAGTGTATCTAGTGGGAGACTCAGATGGGATGATACAATGGGGTTAGTAGTATCTTCTTTTTAAAAACTGGTGCCGAATTGCTGTCTACCTAACCTGGAACCCATCGCAAGAGTCAGTCATATCCAAAGAAAGCCACAGTAAGGAGAAATCAGTGGCCCAAACAATAGCTGACACATAGTGGTCCTTAAGACACCTACCTTTGGTGGACCCCTGTATCTTGACCTAACCTAGTCACTCCAGATGTGTCTCACAATCTTAACTGGTTGAGGATGATGGGAACTGTAGTCCAACACATCTGGAAAGACCAGGGTGAGGAAGGCTTGCCTAACTTACCTCCCAGGGATACAGCTGGGATAAATTGGTGCAATCTCTCATACTCTGTATGTGCACTAAGCTCCTTGCTTGCAGGAATGGTGAGATATACAATGGAACTAATAAATAGAAAAAGGGTTGAAGAATAAGGCAGGGAGGAGGACTGGATTCAATCAGAACTGGCTCTCATGAGCACCTCCTTGCCTGAATTGCCAAGTAGTCATGATAAGATCTAGAGAGAGAAAGAGTTTTAATTTTGTGTGCCTGTTTATTTATATCAACTAGGTTGAACTCACCCGAAGCGACAGGAGAGGATAATTCTGTAGTGGTTTCTGTGGGGATGGGCAAGATGAACAAATAATTCATGTCCATTTCTGGTGCCTATTATTCTTCCACACTAGGCCCCTCGGCCATGCCAACACACACACAGACACCTCTTTATGCCGCTTGCACATCGAGGGGGCGGCCTCGGCTCTCGGGTGCTTAGAGAATTCCATCTCGTGACTCCCATTAGCATTGACAGGAGTTATGCGCATGCATCTCCCTTCCCTTTTGTCCACAGATCAAGTTGAGCTTGCCAACCCACTGCTTTCCTTGCTGATCCAAAGTCAGCTTTATGTCCAAATGCCGTGGGGTGGTTTTGCTGGCGGAGCCACAAACTCTTTTAGTTCACCCATGACCTGAGCCCCTCTTGGTAGCCAAGCTGCCTTTCAAGCCACAGAGCGCAATGGCTAGCAGCCAAATGGCCTTAATGAGATTACAGTTTTGAGTACGCACACGGCAATGCTAAATTCTGATTAAGGAACAGAACAAATCTCAAATTCAGAAAGGGACAACCTGAACTGAGAAAAAGTTACTTCTTAGGATTACAAATCCCAGACAATTTTGGCAGCATGGCTTTCTGCATTGTGGGGTTGTTGTTGTTTTGCAAAGTATGTAGCAAATAATTAATTTCAGCTTGTTCAAGCAGATAAAACAATAGGAAATGTCAGAAGTTCCTTGGTCAGATATATAAAGATCACTAGGTTTGTATTTCATAATGACATCCATGTAAGTAAGTAATATTATAGTGGACTTCAGAGAATTCGGGCACCACAATTGAAGAGAGATATTGACAAGCTGGAATGTGTCCAGAGCAGGGCGATTAAAATGATCAAGGGTCTGGAGAACAAGCCCTATGAGGAGCGGCTTAAAGAGCTGGGCATGTTTAGCCTGAAGAAGAGAAGGCTGAGAAGATATGATAGCCATGTATAAATACGTGAGAGGAAGTCATGAGGAGGAGGGAGCAAGCTTGTTTTCTGCTGTGGAACAATGGCTTCAAACTACACGAAAGGAGATTCCATCTGAACATTAGGAAGAACTTCCTGACAGTGAGAGCTGTTCAGCAGTGGAACTCTCTTCTTCAAAGTGTGATGGAGGCTCCTTCTTTGGATGCTTTTAAACAGAAGCTGGATGGCCATCTGTCAGGGGTGCTTTGAATTTGATTTTCCTGCTTCTTGGCAGGGGGTTGGACTGGATGGCCCATGAGGTCGCTCCCAACTCTATGATTCTATGACTATTGAAAGGAGAAAAGCCAGTTTTCAGGCATCTTTCCATCATGAGTGGACCCAGCTTAAGCTGAAAGTATCCTTCCCTTCAGCTACCAATTAGCACTGCTGTGGTTACCAAAAGGGGAATGAACAGCATTGCTTCTTTGTGCCTCTGTTCCTTGTGCTTCTATCCAATTCTATGACGTACTGAATATTGCAACAAAGGGTCTACGCAGGGGTAGGCAATGCGCGGTCTAGCAGATGTTGCCGCTTCCATCAACACTACCTGTCATAGCTAATGACGAAGGTTTGAGCAATTACTTGACACTGTTGCGCCTGCTCTCACAACAGTCAGGCTATACTTCTGCCTGTCCTTCCCATGTTTCCTGCGATACATGCAATATAAAGATTTTTTGCTATCCCTCTGCAGTGTTTGATTGCCTACAGATCCACATTGCACTACACCCATGCTTCTTTCCTCCTAGAAAGAATTGCACATGCAGTCCTAGAAATAGATACCATGGGTGAATTGTACTACAGGTATCCTTATATATCTTCATCCTAAGTTCCTTTAACTTTCTCATACTACCCTGAACTAACGGCAGCCCTTTGTATTTCATTTTTTAGGAGATGCTCTATTGTACTGTCACATGAGCTCTTTGATATCAAAGGACTGTAATGAAATCAAAGGTTGCGATGGAAGTAGAAATGCCAAATGTTCAGTATAATTATTCTGGGATATATAAAGGCAGTGCAAATCCTAGCACTAATACTAGTGGTATGAAAAAACACTTTACTTTCATACCACTAATGCTATAATAAGATAGGCCTCTGGAATAAAGATCTATGGCATTTTGTCCTCACACTCTACAGAAAGCTAAGGTTTTGTAATTGTAGGCATGTGTTTATGTGCTTTCAAGTCATCCGTTGACTTCATAAGTAAAAGTAAAGGTTTCTCCTTGACATTAAGTCTAGTCAAGTCCGACTCTGGGGGTTGGTGCTCATCTCCATTTCTAAGCTGAAGAGCCGGCATTGTCCATAGACACCTCCAAGGCCTTGTGCCCAGCATGACTGCATGGAGAACTGTTACCTTCCTGCTGAAGCGGTACCTATTCGTCTACGAACACTTGCATGTTTTTGAACTGCTAGGTTGGCAGGAGCTGGGGCTAACAGTGGTAGCTCACCCCGCTCCCCAGATTGGAACTGCATAATAGAATCCCATTAATTTCTTAGTCATGCTTACCCAGGCTATAGTCCTGTACATGTTTACCAGGAAATAAATCTAATCACACCTATTTATTTATTTGACTTATATCTCCCTTTCTCTCAGGACCTGGAGTGATTCATTACATGGTTAAAAGTAAGTACAAGCCCATAAAGTCCCTTTCTCAGCTGCAAAAAAACCTGCTCAAAACCTAATTGAACAAAAAGCTCTGTGCCTGTTGGTCAAATGGCAACACAAAGAGGCCCAGTCTAGGTTACCTTGGAAGGAGCCGACTCTCCTCTCTGGGATCCCCACCAGTTACAATTAGGAGAGAAATAGGGCTCAGTATTAGGAACCCAAAGCACAACCAGGTGTGTGTAGGAGACCATGGTCCTTTAGCTAGCCTGAACTCAAGTTACATGAGGCTCACTTCTGATCAAGCATGTATAGTGCTTCTCTGTAAGTAAGGCGTGATGATGGCTTTTGCTTAAACACACCTACTAAAACATAAGTAAAGGTTTCCCATGACATTGAGTCTAGTTGTGTCCGACTCTGGGAGGTGGTGCTCATCTCCATTTCTAAGCCAAAGAGCCAGCGTTGTCCGTAGACACCTCCAAGGTCTTGTGGCTGGCATAACTGCATGGAGCGCCATTACTTTCCCGTTGGAGCGGTACCTATTGATCTACTCACCTTTGCATGTTTTTGAACTGCTAGATGGGCAGAAGCTGGGGCTAACAGCAGGGGCTCACCCCGCTCCCTGGATTCGAACCACCAACCTTTCGGTCAGCAAGTTCAGCAGCTCTGCGGTTTATCCTGCTGCGTCACCAAATTAAAAACATAACGTATTGTCGAAGGCTTCCATGGCTGGAATTACTGGGTTTTTCGGGCTATATGGCCATTTTCTAGTGGCATTCTCTCCTGACATTTCACCTGCATCTATGGCAGGCATAGATGCAGGTGAAACATCAGGAGAGAATGCTTCTAGAACATGGCCATATAACCCAAAAAACCTACAACAACCCAGTAAAAACATAACCCCTATTAAAAACACAGCACTTAATTTTGAGAAAACACGCATAAGATTATACCAATCAGTGCCAATGTGTCCACTGTTATCATTCACTACAGTCCATGAAAACTGGATTGTAGGATTCCAGGGGCAGGGATCTGTCTTTCTGATTTAATTAATATTGAAAGCATTATACACATTATGTATCTATATTTATGGATATGCATATTTATCCTCATGAACAGAGGGACAAATCAATGATTTACTCATTTTATGCAATGCTAGCCATTAGTAAAATGTGGACATTAAGCATCCCAGGAATAGCATTTCTTTATGAAACTCCTCAAAATATAACTATACAAGGAGAGGATAATATGTAGGACAGTGAGTGCTAGTACTATTACTAGTAATAGTAACAATACTGATAATGCATTGAGTCCAAAGCAAACATCTAGCTTCAATTAGCTGACAACACCAACTACATACTCTGAAGTACATTTGGGGAATTTGGCAAAGCCAGCAAACAAAAGGCACATTTCCTAATTATCTTTCTCCAAAAGACAGCAACACGTTAATTAGACCAAGGCAATGGCATCTCCGTCTGCCTCAAAATGTATACGAGGGATGAATACTCACAGAATGACGAGGAAATGCTGCTTTTGCCTCTGTCCTTGTTTTCTTCTCAGGGGCTGAAATCCTTGCCAGGAAGAGCAGCACTCACAATTTGAACGGCCTCTGATTTGGGGAGGCTCCAAGAACATCAATTCCCTCGATGCTGGCTCTTGTGCTCAGTCTCCTCTGCCCTCTGAGCATAATCTTCTTTGGGAAACCCACAGGTACCATTTTCCGCCCTCATCCTTGTCTGTGGGTGAGGGCATTTGGGAGGCGCGTTTCCTCCTCCAGTAATCTTTCCTCACGACAACGTCTCACCAGGGTCTTAGAGAGGGAGATGGTGTGATGATGCAGCAGCAGGCCGCTGTTCTCTCGTCACGGTTGTCATGGCAACCAAGATATGGTCCCCTGTGGTCCATCAACGCAGATGCAAAAGGTAGGACACAAAGTATGTGCCGAAAATTCTTCGGGGTCCACCAGAGGTTTTCCTACTGATGCACATGCATTTTTATTTTAAATCCAGTTTCAAGGAAACACCTTTCCTCTTTTAGCTGCCCAGAGCATCCATTGCAAATTCCTGTGATGCAGAAATCCTGGCTGAATCCTTGCAAATATTGTGCAAAATATCGGAGAAGGGAAATCTAAAGCTAAGTGGAAGAGCTAGGGATCTGCAGCAGAGCAGAATGCTATAACATAAAATGCTATAACATAAAACTGCAATCCAATGCATAGTTATCTGGGTGGAAGCCACAGAATATGGTTAGACATGTTGTTCATTCGTTCAGTCGTCTCCGACTCTTCGTGACCTCATGGACCAGCCCACGCCAGAGCTCCCTGTCGGCCGTCACCACCCCCAGCTCCTTCAAGGTGTCTAGATCCAGGGAAGTCATGCTAGCCCTCTATTCTTCCTTGGTCAGACCACACCTGGGGTTGTTGTTGTTCATTCATTCAGTCATTTCTGACTCTTTGTGACTTCATGGACCAGCCC